TTTCACATTTTAATACATTTGTGTTATTAATATGCATAAGTAAGCATAAACTTAATTATCTTAATTAGATATATGAAACTCTGCTTAATGAGGCATTCCTTTTTTTTTTAAATAATAAAATAAAATCAATTCGCCTAATGATTTTATTTGTTTAGTTTCTTTCCCACCTTATTAAAGTGTATGTGTGGTTTATTTAATAATCATAATTATTATATTTGATTTGACAAATGAGATTCTTATTGCAAAATGTCAATTTTATTAAATTTGGTCGAATGCATGATTTTTTATTGAACTTTTGACTATTTTCACAAATCACCTTTTTTTCCCCTTTTGCAACTTTAATTAGATTTTGATGTGTGCATTTAATATTTGAAGATTTTGTTACCATGCAAGAAATTTTATAATTTAATTTTGACGTTAACATGTCCAAATTTACTGTAAATAATCATAGTTTCCTCTTTTTGAGTAAAACTATAAAAAAAAAATTACTAACATTTTACGATGTATTTTTTCATCATATTGATATGCAAAAAATTGCAATTTTTATTACTTTTCATATAGTTTTTGTTTAAAATATCGACTAAATGTAATCTAATTTAATTTTGAAAATTTGTCAAATTGACTATCGAAAAGTGCAACATGACAAATAAAAATAGATGGAAGAAGTCTATAATATCAATTGAAAAAATAATTATTTTTATTTAAGCTCTATTAATTTCTATTGTTACGCGTGAATGATTAAAAAACACAATATAAATTTTACCCACATATGGAAACTAAGATTATTAGACATTCATACATTTTAATATATAATGACTATTGTTCTTATTTGAATAAACAAATGAAATTCTGTACTTATAATTACTCAAGTATAATAAAGGACATCTAAGAAATATACCTTTTGTTTCTCTAATTATTTTATATTTATAAAAAAGAAATGAACACATAGTTAAATGTATGTTTACTAAATCCTTTACCATTTATGCTACAAATTTACCATGCACTATAAAAATAGGAAAAACAATAAAATTCATTCCTTTTCCTTAATCATCACAATCTGATTTATAATATAGGTAACTAGTATACTTATTTGCGCTTAGCACAGTAAAAAGAAAAATATAATACAATAGAAGCATTGCCCCAATTACTGCAGACTAATTAAATTATAGGGAAGCAAAAAAAAATCAGAATTTTCAGAGAGTTTTAGGCTTTTCAAACATAATTTGAATTAAAAAAAAAGCAAAAGGAAAGAAAAAAGCGAAGTTCATTTCATTGCCTAAGAGAGGTATCACTTCATGCAATATAGTGAAGTTGTGCACAAAATAGAGAAATAATCATGGGATATAATAAAGCTACACTACCAAAAATATCATAAAAAAATCATGAATCCCTTACCTACCAATAAGATGAATTTCGCACCGAAAAATGGTATCATTGCGATCACGACACAGGGCCATGCAACCACGATGACTAGTACACAAAGTCTACACGATTATGATAGACCCCACGTGATAATGATACGCAAAATATACTTGTATGCGATCATGAGAGTGAGTCCCGCGATCGCAATGAACAAAGTAATGGGCAACAGGCATCATCACACACAACAACTCCAAGACTCAACTAAAAACACAAAGAAGGACCCTCCGAATTCGTTCGAAATCCCGATCACGCCAATCAAATATGCTACTCCACTAAATTCGACGTTTCGAACTCAATTGAACCATCAAAATACGGATTTGAGGTATTCTTTACCCGAAATTCATGAAAGTCGCAATAAACTAACTTTCACCTGAATATACCAAAAATGTCGTCGAAACCTCTGAAAATTCAACCAAGACCTCACCTGCGCCTAGATTCACCCTTGAATCCAATGAAATCGTCGGAACTCTAATATGAGCGTCCAAACTCCGACTGTTGACCATAATTAACTCTTGACCTAATTTCACTTAAACTTCCCACCCAAGGGCTCAATTCCATAAAAAGACCATTTCCAATCTTTTTAACTCATTAAAAGAGACTATGGCCCGTTCCATTTGCTTCATGGCATTTGTGGTCTTGGCAATGATGCTCTTTGTTTCCTATGGTTTGTCTTCATCATTTATTCCTCTTAAATAATGTGTAAAATTACTCTATTTTGTTTGGTCAAAATATTAGCTACTCCCTCTGTCTCAATTTATTTGAGTTAGTTTGACTTGACACGAAGTTAGGATCTCTAATTTTGTTAAGAAATCATAAGAAAAAAATGTAACTAAGTAAGCTGCGAACCGTTCAAATAAAGCCTAAAGAATTGTGAATTGATACATGCTTTAAAGTTATTTGCTATACGTTTTTTTTTTTGCTATACGTTTGACAACTATGAAAAACTCTTGAAATAATTTGTTTGTTTATATATATTCCTCTAAACATTATACGAGCAATATTTCTTTCGATTACGTCTCTCTTATTATAATATTTGTAACTATTTTTGAATGATTGTAGAGGTGCAAGCTCAGCACATGTGCAAATCTACAAGCTAAACCTTCAAAGGATTATGTTTTACCGACTCATCATGTAGAAAAGCTTGTCTCAAAGAGGAGTTTGAAGGTGGACATTGTAGCAAACTCCAAAGAAAGTGCCTATGCACTAAGATTTGTGTATTTGACAAAATTTCAAATGAAGTTAAAACAACTTTGGGTGGGGAAGCAAAAACTCTAAGTGAAGTTGTACTTGAAGATGAGATTATAATGGAGTAACTAAGTGATATTAATTAAGGATTTGAGTGTCAAAAACAAAATTAATAATCATTCTGAAATTGTGTCCTTGGCTTGGCCCAACTTTAGACATTTTGACCAAATATTTTGCAACCCAATAGTGAAAACCACATCGAAAAATAAGTTGAAACCAACCTTTAATCACCTTTTCCCTTAAAGTTCAAGTTCTTGAAAAATCTTCAAATTTTGAAGTTCAAAACCAAGAATTTGATGTTTAAATTCATAAATTACTTATGGGAAATGAAGATTTAGGGTCACAAGTACATACTCAAATAATTTATCTTAAAAAAAAACCCTTTGGAGTCACCTTTACCAAGCTCCCAAAGTTCAAAAATGGTGAAATGGGGATGAGACCCATACTTTTGGACACAGTGGAACCATCAAAATACGGATCCGAGGTGTCCTTGACCCGAAATCCATGAAAATCGCAATAAACTTTCACTCGAAAGTATCAAACTGCCCTCAGAAACTCTTAAATTCAACTAAGACTTCACCTGGGCCTACACTCATCCCTAGAATCCAATGGAATCTTCCGAATTTCAATTTGAACGTCCAAACTCCATATATTGACCAAAGTTAACTCTTGACCTAATTTCACTTAAATTTCCAACTCAATGGCTCAATTTGACAAAAAGATTCTGACACTAAAAATGACAACACTTCTTATAAGTTTTAATAAGATTAATAACAAATAACACAATGAAGACAATGTCTATTTTGCAACAGCTATGAAAGCAGGAGTATACAAGGAACTAAAAGTGAAAAAGATCTATATAAATATTGTAGTCCTAAAGAAACTAACTAATACTCCTTATTATATTAGGAGCTGCAAATTCGAAATTGTTGCCTTAGGAACTCGAACTTGCTGACAAGAAGGAATTTCATAAATACATCGGCTAGCTGATCTTTAGATTTGCAGTAAACAAGAATCACTTCTCTTTTTCTGCACGTTCCTCAAGAAAAAAATTTGTCGTTGTAGTGTTTACTCTTTCCATAGGACACCGAATTATGCAAAATAGCTATTGCAGCTTGATTATCAATATGAATCCCAATATTAACCTTTTGTTCCATATGAAAATAGAAAATATTTTTCTCAGCCATAAGGTTTGATTTACTGCTCCCGTTGCTACTATAAATTCAACCTCTGTTGTGGATTGTTCCACTGTTTTTTTCTTTTGGGAACACCAAGAGAAAATCCCTGATCCTAGACTGAAGTAATATCCTGATGAACTTTTCAAGTAGTCAATGGATCCAACCCAATCACTGTATGAGAATTCATACAACTTTAAATTTTCACACTTGATGAATTTGACACCATATTCAATAGTACCTTTAATGTATCTTATAATTCTTTTTTCTGCTCGCAAATGCATTTCAATAGCATAATGCATAAATCTAAATAAAAGACTTACAACAAATAGAATATCCGTCCTTGTAGCATACATCAAACATATCTAATCAAGCTTCTGAACGTTCCTTCATCAATTTTATTAGTTCCATCCTCTTTGTTTAACTTCTCCTTTGGATTCATTGGTGTTCTTGTCGGCTTGCATTTTTCCATATGGAGTTTCTTTAGTATCTCTCCTGCATCATTCTTTTGGCATATAAAATTTTCATCATAACCTTGCTAGATTTCCATTCCTAGAAAGTATGACATCAGCTGTCTAATTTCAAAGACTTGCATCATTTCCTTCTTAAACTCTTCAACCAACAATACATTGTTTCCTTTCACCAAGAGATCATCAATATAAAGGGAAACAATAAGAAGATTAGTTCCTTTACGTTTGACATAAAGAGCAACTTCAGATACGCTTTGTTCAAACCCCAAACTAAACAAGTGATCATCAATCCTGCTATACGAAGCTCTGGAGCTTGTTTTAAACCATGAAGAGCCTTTTTAAGCAGACATACTAATATTTTTAATATTTTTTTTTTTGGAATCTTATAAGTAGCTCATTTAGTTGACTATCTAAAATTTTACCTTATTGGTGAGATTACGATTCCCCACCTTATATTCCCCTACCCCATAAAAAGAGAAAAAAATGAAAAGAAAAGAAAGAAGAACATGTTTATTGAGTTTATGACCTACCAACAACCATGCTTCACATATTATTGGCCCACTCTTACAATTTCACTGCCTAAAAATTACCTTCATTGTGTTACTTGTTTATTCACAACTCTAAATTGCATTCTTTATTATTCTTAGAAAAAGACATTTCCAATCTTTTTCACTCATTAAAAGAGACTATGGCTCGCTCCATTTGCTTCATGGTATTTCTGGTCTTGGCAATTATGCTCTTTGATTCCTATGGTTTGTCTTCATCATTTATTTCTCTTAAAGCTCATAAAATAAAATAATGTGTAAAACTACTCTATTTTTTGGTCAAAATATTAAGTACTCCCTCCATTCTAATTTATGTCAGTTAGTTTGACTTGACACGAAGTTTAAGAAAGAAAAAAAGACTTTTGAAACTTGTAGTCTAAAATAAGTAATGCCGAAAGAATTGTGAATCATAACATGCTTTAAAGTTATTTGACAACTATGAAAAACACTGAAATAATTTGTTTGTTTATGTTCCTCTAAATATTATATGAGCAATGTTTCTTTCGATTACATCTCTCTTATTCTAAAATTTGTAAATATTTGTGAATGACTGTAGAGGTGCAAGCTCAGCAAATTTGCAAATCACAGAGCCAAACCTTCAAAGGGATGTTTTACCGACTCGTCATGTAGAAAAGCTTGTCGCAGAGAGGAGTTTACAGATGGACATTGTAGAAAACTCCTAAGAAAGTGCCTATGCACAAATATTTGTGTATTTGACAAAATTTCAAATGAAGTTAAAACAACTTTGGGTGGGGAAGCAAAATTTCTAAGTGAAGCTTGGCTTGAATAAAAGATTATGATGGAGTAATTAAATGAGATTAATTAAGGATTTGAGTGTCAAAAACAAAATTAATAATGTGTTGCCTTTTCTTAAAAAAGTAGCTTCTAATGTTGTGTTAATGGCCTTTAGTAGCCATTTGACACATTAAATAAATTGTAACACATCATTAATCCTTTTGGAATCTTGTATCAACTTTATGTATGTTTTAATGAAAAATGATCGACTACGATTTTTAATTTTATGTATGAACTATGTATTATGTTTATTTGATCACTTTGTGTTACGGTTTGTTTTCTGAACAAACCAAGATAACTAGATTTGAATGAAATATAGTGTGATCCGAAGCAAGAGCTAGCCTTCAAATGCAGACGTACATAGCATGAATGGTCAATTTTATTGACATGAAGGGTGTGTTTGGTATGAAGGAAAACATTTTTCGGAAAATGTTTTCCAATTTTCTCATGTTTGGTTGGGTTAAATGTTTTGGAAATTGTTTTCCAAATCAACTCATTTTCCTCAAATTTAAGGAAAATGACTTCCCTTCAAAACTTAAGGAAAACATTTTCCAAAACTCTCTTTCAACTTCAAACTACAATTATATTTTTGTTGAAAAAATCAATTTATTTTGTCCCTACCCTCAAACCAACCCCCCAAAAAATAATAATTTAATGCTTGTTTTTAAATTCAATTTTTTTACCCACCCTCACCCCTACCCCTACCCCCACCCCCTCCCAAAAAAATATTAAAAATTATTTTTAAAAGATATTTCTAATTTCAATTTTTTATTTTTTACCCCCACCCACTACCCTCGCCCCCCCCCTCCCCAATCAATTTTTTTTATTGTTTTTAAAAAATATTTTCAACTTCAATTTTTTATTTTTTCATCCCGATCCTCGATCACCCACGCCCCCTCCCCTGCCTGCCCCCCCCCCCCCAAAAAAAATAGAGTTTGTTTTTAAAAAATATTTTCAACTTCAAAAATTTTATTTTTTCACCTCTACACTCGATCCCCCCCCAACCCAGCCACCCCCTACTCGCCACCCCTACCCCCAAAAAAAAATTTTAAGTTTGTTTTTTAAAAATATATTCAATTTCAAAATTTCATTTTTTCACCCTACCTTGACCTCCCCCCCCTCACGCACGTCCTACCCAGCCCCCCACCCACACCACCCCTACCAACCCCCCCCCCCAAAAAAAAAATTTAAGTTTGTTTTCTTAAAAAATATTTTCAACTTTGAAATTTCATTTTTTCACCCTACCCTTGACCCCCCCCCCACCCACCTCCTACCCAGCCCCCCTACCAGCCCCCCACCCCAAAAAAATAATAATTTAAGTTTATTTTTAAAAATATTTTCAATTTCAAAATTTCATTTTTTCACCCCTACCCTCGACCCACCACCCACCCACCCCCTACCAGCCCTCCCCCCAAAAAAATAATTTAAGTTTGTTTATAAAAAAATATTTTCAATTTCAAAATTTCATTTTTTCACCCCTACCCTCGACCCCCCACCCACCCCCATACCATCCCCCACCACTTCCACCCACCCCCTACAAGCACCCCCCACCCTACCCCCAAAAAAATTTAAGTTTGTTTTTAAAAAATATTTTCAATTTCAAATATTATTTTCTACCCTAGTAAAAATAAAAGATATTTCTCAAAAAAAAAAAATCATTCATAAATCAAACACTAAAAATCTTTTCCGAAAAATATTTCTACTCACCAACCAAACATGAGAAAATAAGTCAAAAATCAACTTATTTTCCAGGAAAACATTTTCTAGGAAAACATCTTCCATGGAAAATATTTTCCTTCATACCAAACACACCCGAAATATAATATTTCTCAAAAATCACAAAAGACCACAGTGCTAAGTAGAGGATCAGCATCCCCTTTAAGAAAAGCTCCTTTGTCCTTAACTTGAATGAGATAATCCATAGCTCTCTTTGTGATGATTTCACCTGGGATTAGCACTGGGATACCTGGAGGGAAAGGGCAAATAAATTCTCCACAAACTTCCCCAATACTTTTTTTCAAAATTCACTTTTTTTTTCTTAGCAAGAAAGGCTTCTTTTGGTGTACAACTCAGGTAAACTTCTTCAAATGGCACCCTTTCTATACCATGATCTATTTTGATAATCTCCCTTTCTTCTTGCAAGAAGTTGATTGATAAATACTTCAATCCACTAACAAGTCTTTGAGTATTTTCTTTAGCTGTTCCTAAGCTAAAGGCTAATGGAAAGATTGAGTTCCAATAAGTTCTGGCTCAATTCCATGACTTGTTGACAATATGTCATATGCCTTGAAACCCGGAAAGCCAAGTTCTTGTACACTAATTGTCATCCTCAAAGGGTCCATAAAAGAGAAGTTGTTGGAGAAACATGAGAGATCCAAAAGTGAGACTCCAGGAATGTGGTTTATTAGTTATTTCACTTGTTGGACTAGTTCCATTACTTCATTGAAAAGGGTGTTTGGATTTTTACTTAATTCATCTCTAGTTGCATCCAAGGAAGCTAATAAAAGCCAATTTGGACTAGTGGTTTGTAAAGATTGAAGACATTTGTGCACTCTATCTCTATCAATGCGATCCTCGAATAAGTGTAACATTGATGATTGGGAAAATGAGAACAAAACTTTTTGTGTAGATTGTATGACAAGATCTGCTCCTTGAGAAAGAGCACTTTTAGGCATGTCAGGATGAAATTTTTAAGTGAGCACCATAAGCTTCATCCACAATTAGTGGGATACCATGAGAATGGCATATTTGAGATATCTCAGAAATATTGCTGCATACTACATTATAAGTTGGTGATGTAATAAAAACTCCTGCTGCCTTTTTGCCTTCCCATTCCAGTTCTTCAGTTTCCATTTCACCTGAAACATTATTAAAGAATTAACCAAGTGATAGTAATGCAGTGAGCTTGTAATGAGTTAGTAGTAAGCTAGGGTAATAAAAAGTTAGTTATAGCGTGCCTGAGTAACTAAATTCCAACTTACATTAGGTGCATTGAGTTTGTTAGGAGAATGCACATGCTATATGATGTAAGATCTATAAAAGGAGGTCTCTCCTTCATTTTGAATGAATTGAAAATACAATTCTTCGCTCTAAATACATTGTTCACTTTGCATTTTCATCCTTGGAAGTGTAGCTTCCATGAATTTTATCACACAAATATAAAATTTTACATTGTATGAGTGCAACATGATGGTGATCGTCTTTTAGAAGCTTTGTATCGTCTTCACAATCCAATTCGTTTCATCAATTGACTTTTTGATATGATAGAATTAATAGTAGCGACTCTGGAGCACAATCATCCTCTTTATCTTCAAGCTTCAAATATGCCAGGTGAAGCTCTAATTGCGACCAAGCTCACATGTCCAAAGAACTATGGCCACGTCTTGAATTGTTGGTCAAAAACAAGTTTGGATTTGTTGATAGAGCTTGGTTGAGAAGTTCATTCAAGGGTGAATTAGGCACTTAGTGGGAAATGTGTATTGCTATGGTACTTTCATGGATCACCACTACTGTAGTCCAGAATTAATCACTACATTTGTATATATATCAAATGCTAAACGAGTTTGGGATGATTTCAGGACAAATTCGACAAATCTAACCTCACCAGGGTGGGGAGATAGATCTTCTCTGAAACAAGATATTGATTCTGTCACGATTTACTATTCAAAATTGAGAGATCTACTGAATGAATGGGATGTTCTAGTTCCAGCTCCATTGTGTAATTGTTACGAGGCTAAGCTTACATCAAACACCTAAGTCAACAAAGTCTATTGATGTTTCTAATGGGGTTAAATGAGTCCTTTAGTCACGTGAAAAGTGATGTTTTTGCTTAAAACTAGTTTATCTACTGTTAATCAAGCATATGCTACTGTAGTACAAGAGGACAGTCAGAGATTACTAGGTGTTACAGACATTAACAAAGATCCTCTTACTATGTTGGTCAATCGAAGACAAGGTTTTAAGTGAAAGAAGCTACTAAACATAACTTGTGAACATTGTGGTTACAAGAATCACTTAATTAACAACTGTTATAGGGTCATAGGTTATCCTGTAGATTTTAAGAGTAAAAGGATACAAGGACAAAATGTGTTTCAAGGAGGGAGAAATGGTTATAGATTATCAACCAACAACACTTAGAATGTAGCGCCTGATTTCAAGTCCTATGCTAACTATGTAGCTCCTAAAGGGAAAAGACATGGTTTTGATCTCACTAAGAAGGAATACAACCATGCACAAAACCTTAGACCTAATACCAAACACACAGAGGTTGTTGAGTGCAAGGAAAACTATGTAAGTAATGTGTCACTGACATCTACCTTTTATGAACATTTTTGGATCATTGATTCTGATGGTAATCATCATGTTACATCTTCTAAGGATCATATAGACAAAATGAGCTATATAGGTAGTCCAAGATCAAGCACTGTTCAATTGCCTAGAGGAAATAGGCCTCACATTCAAGGCACAAGAAGCTCTTTGGTTTTGAAAAGTATAAAGTGCAGGATGTGTTACATGTACCAGACTTCAATTTTAACTTGTTATCAATTGCCAAGCTAACTAAAGAACTTTTGTGTAGTTTCAATTTCTTCCCTAACTTTTGCGTATTTCAGGCTCTCTCAAGTGGGAAGCTGATTGAGATTGGCAGAGAGTGTGCAGGCTTATACTTGTTGAAAGATACAATAACGATTGTAGCCAGTGTTGCCATTAAGGATAATAGTTTAGCCACACTGTGGAATTTAAGACTTTGACCCCCCCCCCCCCTCTTTTCATTCTATGCAACATATTTACTCTATTCATGTTCATTGATCTGATCAACATGTTGTCATATATATCCATTTGGTACATGTAGATGTATGTAGTCCTTATAAGACTCCAAACTATGATAGAAACAATTTTTGTTACAATAATTAATGATTACAATAGGTTTTCTTAGGCTTGCTTAATCCAATCAAAAGTTGAAGTTTATTTTGTTTTTTTAAAAAAACTTTTTGTTAA